TCGGAAAAGTGAATTTAGCAAGCAATCGTGACTACAATCATAAGGATTTATTGGGTATAAACAAGGTGCTTTTGCTCCTTAACGAACATGGGGACCCCTCATTTTTATTTCAAAATTTAAGTTCCTATAATATAAACAATCAATAGGCAAAGATTGACAAAAATCTCAGTGCAGGTTCTATTTCAGTGGAATGACCTTAATCCAAGGAAATGTTTTGGTAACATTGCTAAGGAAACAAATTGCATGTACTCGAAAACGTGAAGTTAAAGTGATTCACAATACAAAATTTTCGCAAGATCGAAGAGTTTTAGTGTCGTGAAATATGCGCACTTGAAAATCACCAAATAAATGTGTCGCGAAAATTTCATGTAATGTGGTATTTTAAATATTCTGTGAAGCATCATCACGTGTATCTTGTCTTTAGTTAGAGAATCGAAGGACTGCAACTTTAAAGAATGGTTTAGCAGCTTTAAGACCTTAACGTCCAGTAAATGTTCTTTAGGGTCATTGCTTACCATAACGGGTGAAGAATTATCGACTTTAAACCTCAGAGTTTGTCACAAACACCAACTTTTGATTTGGATTATTAAGTACTATTTCAAAAACGAGTGCAAGTGTTTCATCAGGTTTCCATACGCGAGAAACATTTGAAACCACGAGGCCGCAGGCCGAGTGGTTTTATTGTTTTCGAGCATTTGGATATGTGTTCTTAATTAGCATAGATTTTTACGATTTCTCCGTTTTCTCCTTTGTTTTAGTTTCGATCGAGAAGATATATCAAACACTCAAGACAGTGTTTGACTACATTTCCAAACACCTTAAACTTCGTCAAAAATACTCCGCTGTGCTTCGTATTTTCAACCCTCTTCTTGATGTTTGGAAATGTGGTCAAACATGCTCTGTCGTGTTTGATATATTACTTACAATACTGTTTTAACCAAGATTCCCTCTAAAAGTGCACAACACGTGGACACAACTTTGTCTACTATAATAGTCACAGCCTGGAACTTCCCAGTTACTTTGAAGCAGACATCCTAGGCCAGCATCTGATTATCCTCTGTGCTTCCACTGATTACAAACATGATGTATTGTTACAGTACAATACTAACATCGTAAATTTCAGGATATTGTATTGGCGTGAACAAGAAACTACACAATGCTCAGTTAACAAATACACACCATTGGCTCCCATAAAGAACTTCTTGCTGAGTGTATACAACGATATTTTGAAAAGAAAAAGAAAAGCTCCTTGTCAAGTATTATTACTTACTTATTATTAGTTGTTTTGAGTGTTTTAGACTTGTAGGATCTGTTAAACAATTGTTATCAAACAAATCAATACTGGACTAGGTTATTGTAAGTGCATAAAAACTCATTTCAATGAGCTTTTGCGGGTCACAAATTAGCGTAATATATACAGTACCTTTTAAGAATTGAAGAACTGCAAACTTGACAGATTGGTGCATCACTTTTAAGACCTCAATTTCCGCGTTTTACATGGTTGAGTATTCTTTATATAGGGCCATTTCTTTCTCAGATTNGATATATCAAACACTCAAGACAGTGTTTGACTACATTTCCAAACACCTTAAACTTCGTCAAAAATACTCCTCTGTGCGTCGTATTTTCAACCGTCTTCTTGGTGTTTGGAAATGTGGTCAAACACGCTCTGTCGTGTTTGATATATTACTTACAATACTGTTTTTAACCAAGATTCCCTTTAAAAGCGCACAACACGTGGATACAACTTTGTCTACTATAATAGTCACAGCCTGGAACTTCCTAGTTATTTTGAAGCGGACATCCTAGGCCAGCATCTGATTATCGTCTGTACTTCCACTGGTTACGAACATGATGTATTGTTACAGTACATTACTAACATCGTAAATTTCAAGATATTGCATCGGCGTGAACAAGAAACTACACAATGCTCAGTTAATAAATACACACCATTGGCTCCCATGAAGAACTTCTTGCTGAGTGTATAAAAAGATGTTTTGAAAAGAAAAAGAAAAGCTCCTTGTCAAATATTATTACTTACTTGTTTTGAGTGTTTTAGACTTGTAGGATCTGTTAAACAATTGTTATCAAACAAATCAATACTGGACTATGTTATTGTAAGTGCATAAAATCTCATTTCAATGAGCTTTTGCGGGTCATAAATTAGCGTAATATATACAGTACCTTTTAAGAATTGAAGAACTGCAAATTTGACGGATTAATGCATCACTTTTAAGACCTCAATTTCCGCATTTTACATGGTTGAGTATTCTTCCTGTGCTCAAAAACAGAAAGTGTTTCTGTTGGCGGCCACAGTAGACCCCATTATGATGTTTTTGCCAACTCCATGCAAGCACGATTTCTTGGGGATTCTACTGTACAGAAGATATAAGAATGTGTTTAACAAAAAAATCTGACTCGTTCTCTACATTCCGGAATGAACGGTCCATTGTGTTCCAGAATGGGAGGGGAAAGCCAACGCGAAATGGAGCACTGAAAGGAAG